CTACGGCCTCCTGTGGAAGGATGGGTCAGGCCTTGCCCCTCTTTGGGGATATGATCAATCACTGCAGACACTAGACCTTGAGTGTGGTGCATCGGGGACTCCACTCTCCCTGCCAGAAGGGGATGGAGAGAGATGGAGGGGTAGAAGGTTGGATGCCATGCTTTTTGGTGGTGGTGGGATACTATGTTGCTCTGGCTAGCCTGGAACTAGCTATCTATGTAGACCAGGCTGGCCTAGAACTCACAGAGACCCACCATCTTCTGCCTCTTGGTGCTAGGATCACAGGTATGTGTTAAAATAATATTTTAAAAAATACTTGTTTTGTTTGTTTTTTGATTTTTTTTTTTCTACACAGGGTTTCTCTGTAGCTTTGGAGCCAGTCCTGGAACTCACTCTGTAGATCAGACTGGCTCAAACTCACCAGAGATCCAACTGCCTCTGCCTCCGGAGGGCAGCAATTAAAGGCGTGTGCCACCACTACCCGGCTAAAAAATACTTTTAACCTTCATTAATTTAGTATGTGAAGGTCAGAGGTCAACTTGCAGGCAGTCAGTTCTCTGCCTTCACTAAGTGGGTGGTGGGGATCGAACTCCATCCAGCAGGCGTGGTAGCAAACACCTTTACCCGTTGAGCCTTGTCAGGGGCCTGGGGTGAGATAATCTTAAACGTGTGCCCTTTGATAAACTAAAGCTACTTCGAGTACGTGGTTAACAGAAAGCAGGAGGGGAGCTGAGTACAGGGCACCACCTGTTACAGTGTTCGCATTGGGGCGGGGGCGGAGGCGGGTGGTTAAAAATACAGTTTACAAAGAGAGAGAAAGGACTCAGAATGGGCCAGCTAGCGAGCCTAGGGGAAAGTGTGCTAGGAGCAGTATGCTGGGGCTAGAGAGAGAAGGCTCAGCCGCTCACAGCTTGGGCTGTTCTTCCAGAGGACCCGAGTTTGGTTCCCAGCACCCACAGTGCAGCTCATGACTATCTGTAACTGTAACTCCAGTTCCAGGGCTCTGATGCCCCCGTCTGGCCTCTGTGGGTACACATGGCACACACGCGTACATGCAGGCAAAGCACATATACACAGGAAAATTCAAGCAAAAACTTTTTTTTTCTTTTCAAAAGATCACACTGAGGTGCTCGAGAGGTGTCTTTGCAGTTAGGATCTCTGCCTGCTCTTTCAGAGGACCCAAGTGTCCTCAACATCACACTGGCTGTCACACGGTTGCCTGTGACTTCAACTCCGGGGCATCTGAAGCCTTCTGGAGCCTTCTGGCCTCCATGGCCATCGGCACTCACATGCACACACATAATTAAAATTAATAAATCATATTTATGATCACATGTGGGAATAAAAACCAAAGTAATCCATCCTTTAAAAAAAATTATGAGGCCATCGCTGGGCAGTGGTGGCGCACGCCTTCAATCCCAGCACTCAGGAGGCAGAGGCAGGTGGATCTCTGTGAGTTTGAGGCCAGTCTGGTCTATATAGTGAGCTCCAGAACAGCCAAAGCTACACAGAGAAACCCTGTCTCAAAAGCAAAACAAAACAAAACATTATGAGGCCACGTGTGGTGCATACATTTAGTCTGAGCACTCTGGAGGCAGAGGCAGGTGGATCTCTGTGAGCTGGAGACCAGCCTGTAAGTTCCAGGACAGCCAGCACCACCTAATAGAGAGACCTTGTTTCTTCAGTACGGCCCCCTGAAAACAGCAATTACTTTCAGTGCAGGAAGCCTGGCACCAGCTAGTTCTGTACAGAGACGAAGGTACAATGACGACTTTACGGAAAAAAGATCCTGAAACTGATCTAGCAAACAAGGGCTTGCTAACTAGATACGAACGTCTCAGACGTGAGTTTGAACCTGTACGAGTGTGTCATGAGCCGAGACTGTCTGTGTAGTAAAGGCTGCCTGGTGGGGGCAGCAGAGCAGTGTGCTGGACCACTGCAGTGGGAGACGCTGAAGGCCTGGAGGCTGGTTCCCGGTGGACAGAAGCTCAGAATCCCGGCAGTATCTTTCTTCAATTGTGTAGCTCTGGACCCAGGAGCTAGAATTCTGATAAATGTTCTATTGTGGCCTGCCACATGTGTGTTCTCTCTGCTCTTCCATCCTGTCCTGAGTTTCTTTTTCTTCTTACCTTTTAAAATATTTATTTATTTTGTAAGGGCCCGAGGAAACGCTGAAGGAGACCCCAGACTCAAACAGTATGGGCCATTTACCTGTACAAAATAGCCACATTGGGGCAGGGCCATTTACCTGTACAAAATGGCCACGGCCCCAAGAGGAGCGTGCAGGTTCCTATTAGGCACAGCTAAGGGGAGTTTTAGGGACAGTTAGATCATCTCAAAATGACTGGTTCAAGCAGCAGTTACGCTAGTATACTTTGATTGACGGAGGTTTAGCCTTATAATGATATAAGGTTTAGCCTTATAATGATATAACTGGACACACTTGCACAAGCTTGGGCAAGCTTGGACTCAGAAGGGGTTGCTGGATTTGTTCTGAGCCATCCCGAGGCTGGCTCAGGCCTCCACCCTGTATGCAAGGGCATTGTGGATAAATGGCCCTTTGTGGGAGAGACACCTGCTTTGTCCTTCTCAGAGAACTGAAACCTAAACTCAGCTGAGAGACTGGGAGAGTTTAACCCCTTCGGTTTGTGTGAGCCGGTGCTGGAGGGGACGACAGAAGGCGTCAGACCCCACGGACATGGAGTTACAGGCAGCTTGAGCCATCCAGCATGGGTACTGGCAAGCCAGTGTGGGTCCTCTGCACAAGCAGTACATGCTCTTAACTGTTAAGTCACCCTTCCTGTGCCATTTTTTAAAAATTGCCTTTACATTTCTTTTTAATGGTGTGTGTGTGTGTGTGTGTGTGTGTGTGTGCACGTGCGGAGGGCACACTCAGCCGTCATGGGGGAGGGATCCGAGGACCTAATGGGAATCGGTTCTTTTCCATCCAGTGGACCACACGTACTGAACTCAGCTCATTGGGCTTGATGGCAGCATCTTTACTGCTGGGCCACCTCTCCTCTCCCCTTTTCTTATTTCTTCTTCTTCTTATTACACAGGGTCTTTGTAGTCCTGGAACTCACTATGTAAACCACTCTGGCCTCAGACTCAGAGATCTTCCACTATTGCCTCCTACTTGCTGAGACTAAAGATGTATGCCACCGTGAACAATCCCTCCCTCCCTCTCTCTCTCTCCCTCTCTCTCTCTCTCTCTCTCTCTCTCTCTCTCTCTCTCTCTCTCTCTCTCTCGATTATTTTAACTGGATGATGGTGGCGCACACCTTAAATCCAGCACTCAGGAGGCAGAGGCAGGTGGATCTCTGTGAGTTCAGGGCCACCCTGGTAAAGAGTGAGTTTCAGAACAGTCAGGGCTACACAGTGAAACCCTGTCTCAAACAAAAACCCAAAATATTATTTTCTGTGTTTTTCTCTGTGTGTGCACATTCAAGTGCATGCATGAGCGTGTCTACTCATGCCTACATGTGCACACAGAGTGTCCACTACCATTTTCCCTTACTCCTTTCAAAAAATATTTTTTATTGGTTTTTCGAGACAGGGTTTCTCCCGTACTCCTCCGAGGCAGGGTCTCTTTCTGAACCAAGAGCTTGCACCTTCTCAGCTAAGGGGGAAGACAGCAAGCCCCAGCAATGCTCCTGTCTCCACCCCCCTCAGCACTGGGTGACAGGTGTTTGTGGGGGCACCCAGCTTTGTGATAAACTTCCATCCTCGTGATTGTGGAGCAAGTTGCTCGGTCTCCCTCTCAACACCCTGCGTCTCACCGCTGTGACCGGGCAGATTAAGAGAGGAAGGGTTTACTCTGCCCGGTTTGGGGATACAGTCGACTACAGTGAGGGAGTCACGGCAGTAGGAGTGGGGTGCAGCTGGCCACCCTGTGTCCACTAAGGAAGCAGGGCAGGATGAACGCCTGTGTTCAGCCCACTTTCCCTTCGTTATTTAGGAGCCCAGAACACAGAACCCTGCCGCCCACAGTCAGCTTCCCCCAGTTAAACCTCTCCGAAAACACCCTCCCAGACATGACTAGGTGTATCTCCTATGTTTTACCAATCGACAACCAGTGTTAAATGCTGTAGTTTAGCTGCAGGTAAGAATGGATCACAATATCCAACAACCCACGTGAGAGTTTATTGATGGGGGAGGAGGGCTAAAAGAAAAAGTCGTGTCTGCTGACCAGGAAAGGAAAGAGGCAGAGGAGAAGGCACGGGTGGTGCTCGCTTTTAAAGGGGCCTTGGCGCATGTGTACAGAACCCTACAGCACCCATGCAGACCTAGGCCTCTGCCTGAATGCTGACAGGTGCGTCTTGCCAGGTGACGGGGGCGGGCCAGCACGTGCCTGAATGCTAACATTCCCACCTTTTGCTTATTATAAAAAGGTGGGGAAATTAAACGGGATACCAGGTGGGACAGGGATAATGGCGCCAAGTTCTCAAGACTGCTTCTGGCTGACTTAGAGGGCGTCGACCATCTTTGGGGGACCTAAGAAAGCTGGGGTGCTGGCGACGTCCTGGGGTAGTTGGTCATTTCACACCAGCCTTATGCTTCTCAGCGGCTCTAACGGTATTGCTTTTTCTTGTCTTGACGTTTGTGAGGTAATAGGATTTTCCTCTTGGTTTCAGGTAACAGGGGGAATGAACGTTTTGTGTTGTCTTAGCAATGGCACCAGGAATGTTTAAAAACGGCTCCTGAGTCTGCGGACACTTTTACTTTAGTGTGTGTGTGTATGTGTGTACATGCCCCATATGAGTGCAGTGCTCATGGAGACAAGAAGATGAGGTTCGTACCCTTGTAGCTGGAGTTACAGGAGGTTGAGAGCAGCCGGCTGGACATGGGCTGTTGGAACTGAAGTCCTCTGGAAGAGCAGCAATTACTCTCCAGGAGTCTGTACTCACACTCACAACACACACACACACACACATGAGCATGTAAATGCACTCACACACATGTACACGTGCACACACACACACACAAAAATAAAATCTTGGTTGGGTGTGGTAGCGCACACCTTTAATCCCAGCACTCAGGAAGCCAACAGAAGTGGGTGGATCTCTGTGAGTTCCAGGACAGCGAGGGTTACATAGAGAGGCCATGGCAAAACAAAACAAAACCCATTAAACTTGCCAGGTAGTGAACTTGGAAGGCTAGGGCAGGTGGATTTCTACAAAATGAGTTTCATGACAGCTGGAGCTGTTTCACAAAGAAATCCTGTCTTGAAAAACAAAAACAAAAACAAAACAAAGCCAGGCAGTGGTGGCATATGCCTTTAATCCTAGCACCCAAAAAGGAGAAGCAGGCAGATCTCTGAGTTTGAGGCCAGCCTGGTCCACAAGAACTAGTTCTAGGACAGGCTTCAAAGCCACAGAGAAACCCTGTCTCAAAAAAGAAAACAAACAAAAAAACCAATAACAAAATAAGATCTTTTCTGTATTGTTTTGTTTTTTTGAGACAGGGTTTCTCTGTGTAGCCCTGGCTGTCCCGGAATTTGCTCTGTAGACCAGGCTGGCCTTGAACTCAGAGGTTTGCCTGCTTCTGCCTCCCGAGACTGGGATGAAAAGTGTTGTACCACCATAACTGGCTAAAATAAAATAAATCTTTAAAATATTAATTCTGTTCCCCATAGTTTGAGCTATATCTTTATATTGATTTAGCTTTATTTTAGCAAATAAAAGTCGGTCTTAAGATCTTTCCCACTTTCTGTCCTCAGCATACCCTTGATTCGGTTTGCTCAGGCTATGAACTTTCCGGCTAAGTGGGGTGACAAGAAGTAGGACTGGTGGGCATGATGGGGCTACTGTGGCTCACTCATTCCCATCATCACGGAGCAGTCTACTCTGCGATGCAGGCATTATTCTGGGGACGCTGGAGCATTTCCCTGGATGCTGTCTGGTTCTTTCTCATTTTCTAAAGGGCTTGTAGTCTCACCAAAGGTACGGATCACACTGTCATCCTGGGGTGGTAGGTGGGGGGAGGAGGGGGTGGAACTCAGGGGCCTTGAACTTGCTAACCACGTGTTCTACCCCAGGTCCTGTTGTGTGTTTTATTTTTTGTGCCTACAGTGTCCAGCTTGTGCCAAACTCGCTCAAGGCATGGCTGTCCTGGAGGTGAGCGTCGGCAGTGGCAGCTACTGCTGACCCCACTGTTCCGTCCCAGGGGAACAGCTGAGCCTTTCAATCAGACTATCTGCTGCCACCCCAGATACCTCCAGAAATACCCCTAGGGCAGAATGAAGAGTATAGGGTTACTAGGTACACCCATCACCCCCATAGCACCCCATATTCTGTCTACACAGTGTGCTCAGGGTCCAAGCACCAAGCCCTCGTCAGCTTCCCGGGACCACCTGCCCTAGGTCTGTAGAAGATGACACAGCTGGAGCCTCACCAGCGACTGAAGCCAGAGGAGTCAGGGGTTTCCTTCTCTGAAGAAAACAATGCCGATTCCTCAAACAGGACATCAAAATTTCAGGGGCCGGGCGAATCCTTATACAACACACCACGCTATCTGTGTTTTCGAGACAGTCCTTTGAAAGTCTGGGGATCACAACCTCCTGGACCAAGTCCCTCAGGGTTGTCAGGATGTCCTGGGTCACGTCTTGCTGGGCCACAGGCCTACATGTCATAGAGCCGGAGCTGCTCCTGCATGTCACCATCAGACATCTCGCCAAACGTCTCCTTGTTGTCTTTCATGAGCTTGAAGATGGCAGCCAGCTGTTCTTTCTGCACTCTGTTGAGAAGAGAGGATGAGAGGAAAGACACTCCTGATGGAGGACGGGGGTGGGGTGGGGTGTGAGGGTGGCGTGGGACCTGTGCCAGGTGGAGACTCTCCTTTTGCTTTTCAGTGGAAGACCCACTTAAAATGCAGGAGGCGGTTTGCGTTAACACTCAGCCCTGAAATCCTGGGTCTCAGGTTCACTGTGCCTCAGTTTCCTCATGGGGCCTACAGTTGATTTGCATCTCACAGTGAGGCAAGGATGAACAGACCCCTGTTTTATTAAATGGCTTGAGGTGCTGAGGAAAACGGGTTAGGAGCAGGCTCAGTTTAGACAGATGAGCGAGAAGCGAGGGAAATGGGGGCATACAGATGTGGCCATACAGATGTGTAGGCAAGCATTCTGGGCCATGGAGAGGGTAGGTTAAAATTAACCCTCTGGGGTTCTGCTGCCTAGAGAAAGAGGCACTTTTCCTATGTACACAAAGTGGGTGTGGATGCAGATGGACCTCAGTGTTGACCACGTGGTTCTGTGGCCACCTTGTGGTTTATGACATTCACCACCCCACCTGACGAGCGCAGAATGACTCCCATGGCAAATATCAAAGATGGGCTGAGCAGCTGAAGACAGGAAGTGTGTGGTCCAGTTTGTTCCACTGCATGGCCCGCCCTGGGCTCACCAGCGTGACTGGCCACTGCATCCCGGCTCCATTTTGCTATCCTGATTTCTTGAGTCCTGGACACTTGATTGCTTTGGGGCCTGAAGAAAACTTGAGCCACACTTGCAAGCTAAGATCTCAGCCTTTCCCAGGGCCATGTGTGCTGTAGCTATGCTGTGGATCAATCATAACCGAGCAGGCTTCAACAAAGCTCTCAGCCACTGGACTGCCCGGAGAGGCACTCCTGATGTGTTAGGACTTAGGGTTTTCCTCTTTTCTTTTGTCTTTGATACAGTCCCCACTTTGTAATTCTGGCTGGTCTGGAACTCACTCTGTAGACCAGGCTGGCCTCAAACTCAGAGATCCCTCCTGCCTCTGCCTCCAGAGTACTGGGATTGAAGATGTGTGCCAGTTTGACAGGCTAGGCCTTGTGCTTTTAATGGAATTCCTTCTACTGTAAGTTCTAACTCTCCCACCCTATCAAGTTCCTCCACTCAACAATCTATTTTCTGTCTCCCCCGGCATCTAGAAGTTGGAGTCCTGATGTCCCAATTCCTACCCTCCCTTGTCTGCACAAGCTAGGTCTATAGTCACTTCCACTGTAAGAGGAAGAGGGGACATGTAGGGTGGATTTTGTACCCCACTGTGTGAAGGTATGGTAAGCAGAGGGAGTTACTGAGAACCGTGGATAAAATCACTGTCAGATTCAGAGAGTACTGTGATGTGGGATTCCCCTCTGTATGCTGTGAATACCATTGGTTAATAAAGAAACTGTCTTAGGCCTGCACAGGGAATAGAGGTAGGTGGGAGGAACTAAACTGAATGCTGGGAGGAAGAAGGAAGAGTTAGAGAGAAGCCACCACTGGAGACAGTGTGCTGAAACTTTGCTGGTAGGCTGCAACCTTGTAGTGATGCAGAGATTAGTGGAGATGGGTTAAATTAAGATGTAAGAGTTAGCAAATAAGAAGCTAGAGCGAATGGGCCAAGCAGTGATTTAAATAGTACAGTTTCTGTGTGATTATTTCGGGGCTGAGCAGCCAGGAACAAACAAGCGGCCTTCCTTCACACAACAAATTGGCAGAGATGTGGTTGACTAAAATCCACTTAAAACCTGAGAGGGCTTGTAAGGGAATTCTAGTCACAAAAATACAGAGTTTAACACACAGCCTCTTTCTATTTGCTGGCGGTGTGCCACAGCTCCTTTAAGAGAGGTTTTCCTGATTCAGTGGTAGCAGAAAAAAAAAGCCACGGTTTTGAAATGCAGGCTTTCTGGGCCATGCTGCCAGCATGACCTCTGATTTTTTCAGGAGATCGAGCATTTGAATGGGGTTTGTGAGCAACATGCTACAGCTTGCTTGGTGGCAACATGGACTGGCTTTGTGCCTAGAGAAGGGGCATTGTGCATGGCTCTCCAGGCAGCAAGCAGCTCCACCATGCTGGTCTGGGCGGGGCAAGCAGGCAGTGGGCAAGCAGGCAATGGCATCACTTAAGTTCATAAGAAGGGCTTAGCCTTTTAAGAAGCGCTCCTGAACAGTAAAGAATTACAGATATACAATAAAGACAAGTTCGGGTGGGAAAAAACCTATAAATGGTTCACAGTGTTGGATTAATGTATATAGGCTTAGAAGAGAGAAGAAAAGAGTGTAAGCAGTTATAAAATGAAGTAAATGGTTTTTAAAAAAAAGATAAAGCCTTTAAAGAGACAGAGTACAAAGTTATAGATTAAAAGGAATAAAGAAAAATAAGCCATATAAAAATAGAAAATTCACAGAGAGTCTGGATTATGTATATTATTGTCTTTTCTTTGAATTTTTGACTGCAGAGAGACATCTGATTCTGGGGATTGCTAAGCTAAACCAACATATATACTTTAAAGGTGTCTTGATTTCAAAATATGGATCTAAGGATATGGTGCTTTGGAAAAGACGTTCTTGTGTTTCCACAGAGAATGAGAACCTATGGATTCATTCCAGGCTAATGTGGTTTGACGCACCAGGACCCCCTGAAAGGTTGCTGTGAACACCCCCCAAAAATTATTTTGCCCAACTGCTGACTGAGATGAACCTAGCACACAGGATACACCATGAAAGACCTGATTAACAGTGTCCCCAATCAGCAGGAAGTAGTCTATAGAACTATGCCCAAGTTCCCAAATATTGTTTATAAATATTTATATTTAAAGGGGGATATGCCATAGAGATTTGCATTGGTATGGATCTTGGTTTATTAATACAAATTTAAGGCCAATTTTGTTATACTGTGTATATGTATTTCTGCTCTTGCTTAAGGTATTGCGTTTGTCCAGCTCATTAAAAAATATAATGTATAATTAAGAAATACAAGTTAATAGATAGTCATCTTTAATAGTCAAGCTTCTAGTCATGTTAGGTTTTCTAGATATATAGAAGTATATTTCAGTTAGACAGGTATTCTTCAAACCTTTCAAAGACCTTTAGAATATGGCATTTAAAATGTTTTAAGAACTTAGGGGGCTGGAGAGATGGCTCAGTGGGTAAGAGCACTGGCTGCTCTTCCAAAGGTCCTGAGTTCAATTCCCAGCAACCACATGGTGGCTCCCAACCATCTGTAATGAGATTTGGCTCCCTCCTCTGGCTTGTGGGCATACATGGAGGCAGAATGTTGTATACATAATAAATAATGAATAAAATCTTTAAAAAATAAATAAATAAATAAATAAGAACTTAGGACTTTTCATGACAGTGAGACACATCTGCTCCTGGCAGCACCAATCTACTTCAAGAGGATGATGGGCATCCAAGAGGCTCCTATGGAGTCTATTAGCCATTTGGGCAAGAAACTGCTCTTGCCTGGACTGCTTTATGAACTGGACATGCAGGACACACAGAGAAATGACTGCTGAACTTGCCTAAAGATGAGACCATCCTTCAGGGTTCCTGCTTCATGAAACATTCTGCCAGACCTTGTGGTGATGCACAGATTAGTGGAGATGGGTTAAGATGTAAGAGTTAGTAAGTAAGCTAGAGCTAATGGGCCAAGCAGTGATTTAAATAATACAGTTTCTGTGTGATTATTTCGGGGCTGAGCAGCTGGGAACAAACAAGCGGCCTTCCTTATTACAGTACTGTCTCTTAATGAACTGTCCATAATGTTTTGGTGGTCATGATAATTGTGTATTTATCATAATTATCATTATAATTATTAATACTGTTATTATTTTTGGATTCTGGGGAGGGGTGTTGAGATGGTCTCACTGTGTAGTCTTTGCTAGCCTGGAATTCACTATGTAAACTGCACCTCCAGGTACTGGGATCACTGTTGTACACCACCACCACCCCTTACCCACAGGGCTGTGGTATTTACTTATTTGTCTTTGTTTTCATTTGTTCAGGAGTTTCATCTACATGTATGTATGTATGTATGTATGTGTGTGTACAACATGTTTGCCTGATGCCCTCAGAGGTCAGAGAGGGAACTGGATTCCCTGGAACTAGAGTTACGTACGGATGGTTGTGAACCATCATCAGGGTACTGGGAAGAAAATCATACCCTCTGCAAGAGCCAATGTTCTTAGCCCAACACCCATGTCTCCAGCCTGGGCTGTGTATGTGGAATCAGGCATGCGTACAGCCTTGTGCGCTGCTGGAGCATCAAAGGCATCAAAAGAGAGGTTTAAAGTTTGTTTCTAAAGAGGTCTTTCTTCCTTTTTAAACAAAGCAAACTGAAGAAACACACGGTAACCAAGGTCCTCTGCTTAACGTTTTATTGCCAGAACACGGGTTGTACACAGCGAGCCCAGCCGCCAGGAGTTGGGGGTGGGGAGAGGCTGTGGCCCACAAGCTGTGTTCAGGTTTCCACGCGAGCCTAACTAACAGTATCCAGAGGTCACTCCTCTGTGCGGAGGAGATCCCGCCTAGACAGGGACTTCACTATTGCTATTTAGGAACGAGTGTCACCTTTGGTCACGTGGCTCTGTGTCAAAGGCATGGAGCTGTGTCTGCTGCTTTGTTGCCTGCTCAACCCTAAGCTCCGAACCCAAGTGATCAGACACGGGAGAAGGCTGCCAGGAACACACGGCTTAGGAGTCGATGCTGGACATGTTTCCAGTTTTCTCTTAAATAAATGGAAAGTCTTCTAAAAACTCAGTGCTTTAGAAAAAGAAATGTTTTCGTCAACAAGTCTAAGACTTCAGAGTTGTCTGATATATAGTATAAATACTGTCAAATATAAAATTCTGAAAAACTAATCTGGGACCGCTGGTTGATTATCTGGTGAGGTTCAAAGTCATCCAGGAATAACCTAGAAAACGCGCAACCCAGAAGTCTACTCGAAGCTAAGCCGGCTATTGCAAGCAAAGTGGAGACTAAGCTGAGCTGGTAAGAACACTAGTGAAAAGGCCTTAGTACCAGAGGGTTAGACCCGAGACTCCCGGGAGGAGAGTGGGGGCAAAAAGGGAGGCCACCTTAAAGCCAGTACCTGGCGTGAAGCATTCCTGCCAGAGAGAAAGAGGAAAGCCCCCGCCCCGCCCCAGGGGTGTGTAACCATCTCTAACAGCAAATGAGCACCTGTGGGGCTTCTCCTCCCTTGCCTGTCACTTCTCAACTCTGGGGGTTTGGTTTCGGTGAGAACAGAAGCACAGGTTTGTGAGCGGGGTGTGGGGAGCAAACGTGGCTGGTAAGAAAAGCCCAAGACCCGGGCCCATTCTTGGCAAGTTGTCCCCCCCACTCCATAAACACCTCTGAGCAGGGCAGAGACACAAGGGCTCCCAAAGATCTTGCTAGCCCAAGGGAGCCCAAGAGGGGTGGGGGTATCAGCATGTCAGCAGATTTGCAGACAAACTCTCCCCCACCCCAAGCCTGCACGGACTCCTCCCTGGGGTTCTTTTTTTTTTTTTTTTTTTTTTTTTTAATCAAGCTTTTAAGATGTTAAAAAAAAAAAAGGCAAGAAAGCCTTCAGGAGGAGGCTAAGGACACCTTCGTTATTCTTCAGTTCTGTAAAGAGAAATAGGGAGAAAAAGATCATGTATCTTGCTCGGTTTACTTCAGGAGCACAGGACAGGAAGAGTGGGCACAGGGGCTGGAGGGGGATGGTTGGAATCGCAGAGGCCATGTCAGTCCAGCAGTTTGCTCCACACACTTTGCAGTGACAGGGGCTCCATCTGTCCCTCTCCCCACCCCTCACCGCCCCCGCCCCCCAAGCCAGGCAGCCACCAGCCACTTCAGCTTCTGGGTATAGAGTAGCTGGGCAGTGAGCTTGCTGATCCTTTGCTATGTGGCTGGTTACACTAAAGACATTCCTACTGCCCTGGGTAATTTTTGCTTCCTGCTGCCTGGGTCTTTGTCTCCCGTGAGGTTGCCCAGGAGGATCAAAAGCCTGGATACCTTGCTGAAGGCAAGTGATCTTAATTTTGTGCCTTTGGCGCCCTCTCCTGGAAGCTAAAGTCAACGCATACTTTCAGCCATTAGTTTGATTCAGGAAGAGCCAGAGTGAGTTCCCACCTGCCCAATATGCAGTTCTAAACCCTCCTCTGAGGTCCTGTCAATACGGCGTGACAGTCCTTCAGACTGCCAGCCTCAGCAGTGTGCGACCTGGCCTGGCCTGCCAACACAGCCTAGCGTACAAGCTGGGTTCCACTTTCCCTCTGGAACTGCCAGGTGGGATATCCTGCCAAGCTGTGGAGTGAGAAGGCCTCATCCCTAGGGGAAGCTGTCTAAAGCCTGAGAGCCAACGGTCCCAGTCACACAGAGGGAGGTGGCGCCCCCAAGAGAAGCTTAGGGGGAAGGCAGGGATAGAGCCAATGTGGGGAGCAGGGAAAGGGTGTGCATGTCCGTTGCGAGGGAACTGGACAAAGGTTAGCGTGCACAGCAGCCAGGACTACAGCACTTGCTGCCTGACCACTTCCGGGCGCTGGACAGGAGTTTTGTCTGGAGCAGATCCGAGGGCAGGAATTCTCAGCTGAGATCAGAGAACACTCTGGGACCTCTAGCTTCCTAACTGCCACTCCCCAAGGACCCGTGAGCAAGCCTGGGGAGAACAGAGCCGCGAGTCGCTGCGGAGCTGGGTTCTAAGTGCAGCTAGGGTGGTGATCTGGCTGATCGTTCAAGGCGAGGAGGCAGTGCAGCGTTCACCTGTTAACCAGGCGCTCCCTGCTGCAGCCTCAGAGCAAACAGAGGCTGTCTGGTAGGGACAGAGTTGGCGGGCACCCTGCCAGCTTGAGGATGGCTTCATTCGTTTGATGGTAACATGAATGGGTTATTATTATTATTACATCTTTACTTGTTTTGCGTGGATGTGTGAGTGTGTATGCTGTGGAGGCCAGGGACAAGTCACGGGAGTCACTTCTCTCCTTTCTTCATGTTAGTCCCAGGGATTGAACTCAGGATGTCAGGCTTGGCAGCAGACACCTTTACTCCCTGAGCCACCTCGCCAGTTCTACAGTTGTGCTATTTCAGGGGTCCCTCGTAGGGCTGTTCCCCAAACTCAGCTGGGTCCAGGTCTGTGTTGTAACTACCATCTCTCCAGAACGCAGAGACAGAAAGTCGAAGCCAAACTGAACAGCCTCTGCAACCCCAAGCATCAGGAGGCAGAGGTGTGGTCGGGGGTGTTCCCCCGCCCCCCCCCGACCCTGGGCAGCTTCAGCTGGGGCCACATGCAGGGGTCAGCGGGAAGCAAGCAAATGTCAGATGGGGCAGGCGGGTGAGAGCCACAGGAAGCGAAGCATGCTGGGTAGGGAGTGGAATGAACGTGAGCTCGGGCCCTGCCGGGACCTCCACCAGTCCCTCCTGCACACAGTGAGGACTTCCCTGTGCAGAGGAGGAGGAGTCGGGGACTCCTTCCTCACCCCAAGAACAGCTCCTTGGCACAGTCTCTAGCCCACAGAAGAGCCAGACATCAGTGGGTGGTCTGGAGTCCCCTAGAAACTTGGAGGCAAAGGCCCTCAGGCAGTGGGGAATCTGCTGTCTTTGAAGTGACACAGGAGTGGCTTTGCCTTTTCATTTCCTGGCCTCAGCTCTGAACACAGGGGCGGTGGCAGACTCCAAACTGAGGCCTAGCTGCCACCCAGTAACTGTGAACACAAGGAACGGTGGTAGATCTCAAACTTGAGGCCTAACTGCTCTGCTACCCGGAGAGCCCCTCAGGGCCCACAGTGCAACGACCTGAAGACAGGATGAGGCTACAGTGTTGCCAAAGCCCCATCCTCAGAAATGCCTGGGATGGCAGGGTGGGGTTCAGGCCCTCTCTCGCCTCTCCACACAGATAGAATATTGTATACATAACAAATAAATAAATATTTTTTTAAAAAAAGTATACTAGCACCCAAACTAGCTGGACCCCTTAGGTCCACCAGGGACTTGAACTGGTCCCCGGGAAAGGCTCTTTTTGTGTCTGGGATTCCTCGTGCACGGAAGAACAAGGCAGGTCCAGATGGGACAAAATGCATTAACTGGTTATGGAGACGGTGGGGGAGGAAGAGGAGGAGGAGGGTTTAGACCACGTCAGTGGCGTTGGGGACACATTAGCAGACAACGTGAGAGGAAACACGGCTAGTCTACGAAACCAACCTCCTTACCACAAGGGTTTGCAAGGACATTTGTGGCCCAGGACTAAAGGACTCGCTACAGGGAGGTGAGGTCAGAGGTCAGCTCAATCCTGAAATACAAAGGTAGCAAACTGGGTCACAACAAGAGGCAGCGTCCTCATCCAAGGAGTTAGGGACTCGCATGGTAAGGGCTTCTTCCTGCCTGTGCCTACCCTGACATCCCTCTGCACCCGGGGTGAGGAGGCTCCTGCGAAGTCAGCAACTTGGCAGAGAGACAGGATCTTGCAAGCAGTGTGGTTGGGACACCAGAGGAAAGCTGGGAGCCCAGGAGCAGCCCAGAGAGGGTGGGTAAGCCGTGCATCTCACTTCGGCCTTCTACTCCTTGCTTGCGCTCATGAGTCAGGGCTAGTCCCCCACCAGCGCCTCTGGGTGCCCGGACTGGGAAATGGTGCTGCTCTCAGTGAGACTTGACTGTAGCACAGCGGCTCCGCTCACACCTCTGGCGGCGGGACAGCAGGTGCACATGGGAGGGGGCTGGGCTAGTGCAAACCCTGCTCCTCCTGTGGCCGCCTTGGCCACCCTATTGCTTCACAGCCCCCCTCAGCCACCCATGCAGTCCAGATAAAACGCTGTGGGGAGCCCGATGGACACACTGAGGGCTCTGGTGGGTGAGGGGAGAGTGGCCTGATTCCAGAACCCAGAAGTCACACAGCTGCCTTGAGCCGTGCAGAGCGGAGCTGTGTGAAGCGGAACAGATAGAGAACGACACCGCAGGTGGGGGCCAGGAGGAGGGAGGATGCCAGATGGATGAGCACCAAGAATCCCGCTCTGTCCTCAAGTGACAAATTGGATTTGTCAGGGGCTCCACGCATAAGTGACCAGTGAGGCTGCTCCAGGCCCTTCCCTGGCATCTCATGCCCGCCCCTCTGAGCTGCCTGCTCCAGGGGAACATCGTCCCTTGACTGAGGCTGGCTGAAGATTACCAGGACAAGAAAAGATGCAAGAGGGCATGGTGGGCTGGCTCACCCTGCTCGGCCCCTCCACCCGTGTTCCAGAAGCCGCCTACCTCTGCTCCTCCTCCAGCTCTTCTTTGGTCATCATCCTCTTGTACTGGCTTCCCCTCAGCTGCCCAGGGCTGTACTTAAAGGAGAAGGCCGCTCCTGTGAGGACAGCGGGCAAGTTTAGTGCCAACTCTAAGAGATAGGCTGTCCCGATCAGTATTCAGTAGCATCCCCTTCCACGGTTAGTTTTAGCTGACTCTCCCTCACTCTCACTCTCCCTGTGTGTGTGCGCGCGCGTGTGTGTGCATGCATGTGCGCGCGCACGCATGTGCATGTGTGTGTAGCTGGGGATTAAACTCAGGGCCTTGCACATGCTAGGCCAGGCAAGCATTCCTCCCTGAACTACATCCCTGGCTCTCCCTTTGTTCCTTTTCAAAGAAACAGCCCAGCAACATAGCTCAGTGGGTGGATGAAAACAAAACAAAAAACAAACAAAACAAAAAACTAGGTGGTGGCTCTTAATCCCAGCAATCAAGAGCCGGAGGCAGGTGGATCTCTGAGTTCAAGACCAGCCTGGTCTACAGAGCAAGTTCCAGGACAGTCAGGGCTACACAGAGAAAACCTATTGTCAGAGAGGCCAACAAGCCACACACACAGCCCTTGTGGCAGCCTGAGTGCAGCCCCAGCTTCAGACCACACACTCAGTGACATCATCTTCACCCCAGCACCTGACCCCAGGCTCATCCTATACTTTTTATGAATTCCTATAGCTCCCTACACCTTGCTCTTTTTTTTTGGGGGGGGGGGTTTCGAGACAGGGTTTCTTTGTGTAACAGTCCTCTGCAGGCCAGAAGAGGGCGCCAGATCTCATTACAGATGGTTGTGAGCCACTGTGTGGTTGCTGGGAATTGAACTCAGGTCTTCTGGAAGATCAACCAGAACTCTTAACCTCTGAGCCATCTCTCCAGGCCCCCCCCCCACCTTGGTCTTTAGTGGGGTCAGAGGGAACTGAAAGGGGCAAACAGAAACCATCCCTTGTGCCGCTCCATCCTCCAAATGCCATTCCCTCCTCAGTCCGGTTTAAGCCAGCCCAGAGCTATCTTCCTGCCTCTGAGCCTACACTTCAGCTGTTTGCTGCGAGGCTCCCCACCCCCACCCCAACTCCCGCCACACTGGCCTCCCTCAACCCCAGTTTATGCTGATACTACCTAGAGCAAATGCCATTCACTTCCCAGGGAGCACATGGGTCCCCACACTGGGCCCCAGGGACTCAGACCTTCCTTTTCTTCTCCTAAGCTTGGGACAGCCAGGCCCAGTCTCTCTGTCCCCCCCCCCCCCCCGAGTTATCAGCAATTGAAGGCGTACATCAGGCCCAAGATGGGATGCAGAAATGAACAGGCTTGGCGGACTGCCAGCGTCTGACAGCAGCCTCCAGTGCCTGCAGACTGTTAGAAAGGGCGGATCTGTAGGTTTGAAGTGGGGGGGGGGGGCAAGGCATTAGACACAGCGCCAGCACAGATGCTGGGGTACCCCAGCAGAGGGAGGCAAGGACTGCAGGTTAGCATGGGAAAGTGGAGTGTCCCGATGAGAAAGTCTGCTTGGAAGCAATGCCCTCAGCATCTCTTAATCCAGCCAGTGTCTGGGAGACTGAGACTGACGGGCTGGCTTCTACCTAATGCCTAGGAGGGTAGAAAAGGTCGGGGACGGCGACAGCCCGTGACAATGCTAGCTTCTCTTCCAGCCGCTATTCTAGAACTTCCTAGTGTCTCTGAGACACCTCCACATCCTCTCAGAGCAGGTCAGGCTCCCCACTCACGTCGTGAGACACACGGATGCTACCTGGAAGAAAAGGCCTCTGGGACAGCATCCTCTCCTGAGGAAGAAGGGTCTGGAAATGATCTCAGAGCCCAAACATCCTGCAGGGGCCATGTTGTCCCCCACATCAATCCTCACTTAGGAGGATTGGGGTACTCACTATCTAGCTGCCCAGGGCCAGAGGCTTCCTCAGGAAGCAATCTCTACCTTTCACAAGGCCTGATTTGCTCCTCAAATCATTCCACAAGCATTTAGAGAGCGCAATTCCAGGTGCTGGTGATTCCGCAGAAACAAGAGACAAACGCACACAAAGAAGCCTCAAATCAACAACAGCTGGCTCTAGGCAAGTGTGGCTGAGGTGGGAGGGGTGGGTGTGGTGGCATACATTTTTACTCCCAGCACTTGGGAGGCAGAACGCTGTGAGTTCTAGGCCAGCCTGGTCCACATTAAGCTTTGGGCCAACTCTACAGAGGGTACAGGACAAGGTGACTGTGGGTGAGTCAACGGGGGTTGGTGGGGTTGCCTGGGCTCCTGCTGGGTGAGGTGGTGGCTCTGGGAGTCTGAGGCAGAGCTGAACCGTCCTTCTCAGAAAGCCTCCCTCTCCTCTGCAACCTCCCCCTCCATCTCCCACCACCTCAGCGCCTAGGCATGCTATAAGCTCTGCCTAGCTAGGTTAATAAGGAAACTCCACTCCATCTGGGTCATCGGAACCAAGAGCTTTTCAAGCCAGTCCAAGATGTGGACAGATGAGGCCGAAGATCAGGAAGCTTCCCTGAGCAACTCCAATCTGCAGCCGAGAGCTGCAGCATTCAGTCCCAGGAGCGAAGGGGCGGTGTCTTCATCTATCCCAAAGCCCTGAATATCCTGCATGCCAAAGAGGCAGCTGTAGCCCGAGTGTGCAGACAACCCCCAGGATGGACCCAAAGAAGTGACAAAACCAAGGAGAACCTTGGCTTTCGGGTGCCGCGGTGCCGCTTTAGGAAAATAAACATCAAAAGTTCTGCCAGCTGGGTGCACGGCTGGGCTCTGGTTTATGGGGCAAGTCTTATTAGCTTGAGGCTCTTCCAGCCCACCAGGACGGCCCACTGACGCAGGCTTTAACTTAATCATACGCGGTGGGCCGAATCCAATTTCATTAGAGCAGGAGGGCTGGGTGTGAGAGCCCCCGGGGAGCGCGTATGAGTGGGGGCTTCCTCTTCCAGGCCTCATCAATCTATGAGTCACTTGGGGAAGTCATTTTAGCGACACTAATCAATTAGCCTGGGAGGCTGAGCTGCTTACTGCAGAGGGGCGCATGGGGGACGGTGTGCTGGGGGGGTCTGAGGGGGCCCAGCCTTGCTTCCTTTGACAGCTGAGCCCACTGGCCTTTCTCCCTCTGCCTGGTTATAGCAGCAGGCCATTAGGATGGGGGCTGTCCAGGACAGCAGCTCAGATGAAAAGCAAAGAACTCAGCAGCAGGCAGGGGGCTGGGTACAGGGATTGTGGATGGTGGACGTCAGCAGAGTTAAGAATGGCAGCCGGTGGGGTCTCTCTGTTTGCACCCAGGGGCCTCCAGACTCGTTTCAACCTCCCTTTCGCATGCTCAAGTCACTAACAGGACCTTAGAACCTGTGCCAGCAGGGACAAACTCTTGGGCTACAGTTACTGTTAGCTCGATGACCTAGGAGGGCAGAGCATAGGCCTGGCTGGCCAGAGGTTGGAATCCTCACCTACCACGGCCTGTGCCTGGGCACCCTCGGAGGCTGTGCCAACAGAAACCCACAGCTCTGCTCCCTCTCTGAGCCTCATTGCCACTGACACCCACAGGAGCCTCAGTTACAACATTCCTGAACCCCTGCTCCCCGCCATTCCCATTAAAGCTGCTTTTAAAAAAAAATGCAATTATCTCTGTGTGCTCACTGTACTGGTCTGATAAAATTAACTGTTTTGCTTTGTTTTTCTCCAGCTTCTTTGTGAAGGAAATAAAATGTGACAGATCAGCCAGTCTGTCTGTCTGTCTGTCTAGGACACACGGGGGCCTCTGGGTTTCATATATTCCTGTGGCTCTCTCTCCCATCTGAGCCACCCAGAGCTCAGGAGAAACAGCCCCTGGGGGACCTCCCAACAAAATACACCAGAGAGAACCAACATAAAGACAGGCATAGGTGGGAGAGGGGAGAAGAGACCTGGCAGCGAGGGAAAGCCAGAGCTTCTGCCTCTAAGGGAAGGCCTCCTGCACTAAATGACTTGTTTACAGACAGAACAGCCTGGACCAAAAGTGCAAAGGAGGTATACGCAGGAAGGCGAGGGATGAGTGGGGGCCTTGATCGGATCATCCTGTAGCCCCTCTCCCTCCATCCACCCTCAAGTCCCTGTGGTCCCCAGTTCTCCCATCCCACCGCCCCCAGAGTGGTCCAGGGAGAGCCAAAGACTGCAGCCTCATGGGAGTAGGTGCCACTTGCTCACCATCCTCTTCCTCAGGTTCTTCAGTGGGTGGCCCCGTCTCACTGTCTGAGTCCTGCTCTTCATCCTGCAAGACAATGGCGGGGGTCAGTGCTGCTTACCTAGCTGAACCCTGTTCTCTCTCAGGAGAGGGTGAGATGTGGGCTGGGGGAGGTGGCTCCCTAAATTGGGGAAGATGAATGGGGAGGGAGTGGGGAAGGCATCTCCAAGGTCCTTGTGAGTGCGTCCAGCGGCTGTGGTGGAACCTGTGGTGTCAGGGCAGAGTCAAGGATAGGAGGAGGAGATAGAGGACCCTGGGGATCACAAGCCCTCAACTTAGGCCATTCCCAGGTAGTGTTTGTCCGGGCATTGTGGTAAGTGGCCTGGAACTCCCACCCTCACCTTAATAAGTAAAGAGAGACGCCAAAAAATCTGGCTGCACTACCTAAAGCCAAAGCCAGCTCAACAGCCCAGCTATTCCAAGAGAGAGGCCTTCTGGCTCCTTCCAGTGTCATTTTCTGTCTCTACTCAGTGCAGTAACCATTTACCCCAAACTGGAACTCCACCCCCTTAGCCTGGTCTCTCCCACACATGGACTCAATAAACAGATGGCCGGAGAGGCATCCCATCCCGTCCTGGGATGGCCTTGGTGGAAGGCAGGAGTGACTTCAACTTCAGGAATGTTTGAGGATGAGAGAGCCATGTGACCGGAGAACTATGTGGAGCTGGAGGGTGTGGGGAGGGCATCAGAGGCCCGAGGAACTGTGGCTTGGAAGCCTGGCAGGCCAGGGTGGAAACTTCAGGTTTGAGGGGGAGGGCGCGGGTAGAAGGGAGCTGCCTGCAGTGGAGACAAACACTGATGTAGGTCTGGGGTGCCCCAGATACCCCAAGAAGCAGTCAGCCTCCATAGGAAGAGGCTCCCCAACAGAAGAGCAAGTTGAGCCTGGAAACAAAGCTTTCACAAGGCCCATGGCGGGAGGTCACAAGAGGCAAACTCTTGGGCCTTGAGTTCCTCAGGATCTCGGGCCAGTGTCTACCACTGAGCAGAGCTCGTAGACTTGGTGCTGGTTATGTGGAAGCCATTCTGCCCTAGCACATGCAAGGCTGTGTGCTGGTGGATCAGACACCTCAGTTTTGCAAAGCAAAGTATCTTTGTAGCTAAGGGAGGTAGGCAGGTTGGGAAAGGAAACACCCCTTTTGATGCAGGGATCACTGCGAAGGATCTGTTGTCTAGACTAGAAATCTTTATCTAGGACTTTTCTACAGCAGTGCTTAGCTAAACACACTTGGCTAACATGATCTCCAAAATGTCAACCAGCCCAAAGTCACCAGGCGTGTATACCACACAGGGCACACAGAGGAGGTGTCTGCACACCCTGGCTATGAGGAAGGGTCAAAAGAATTTATGAGGGGGCGCGAGGAGGTGGGCAGAGTGCACACGTCTGAGGAACTGAGTTTGGATCTGCAGCAACCATGAAAAAGGAGCGCAGGGTTGTGCGTGTCTGTAACTCTAGCACTGGGATGTGTGGGGGAGAAGGGCAGATCTTCAGCGCTTACCAGGGAGACAGCCTGTGCAACTGGTGAACTCTGGAGCCAGCGGGAGACCCTGTCTCAAAAGATAAAGTGGAGCTGGTGTCACACACTTTTAATCTCCACTCGGGAGGCCTCTGTGAGTTCTTGGCCAGTCTGATCTACATGGTGAGTTCCAGGCCAGCCAAAGCTACATAGCAAGACTCTGTCTCAAAGAATAAATAAGGCCTTTGGAATAGGGTCATGCACACACATACACACTTGTGTGCATGTGTGTTTGTGTGCACGTGTGTGTGTCAGAGAAGGATGCCAGGTGGCCTGCTCTAACATTCTGTCTGTTCCCTTCAGACAGGATCTCTCACTGAACCTGCAGCTAGGCTGGCAGTCATGACACCCCAATGATCCTCCTGTCTCTGACCCCTCAGTGCTGGAGTTACATGTGTATAAACACATGTTTTTACATGGATGCTCAGGATTTGAACTCAGGTCCTCGTATATGTGCAGCAAGTGCCACCTCCCCAGTCCCTTGGATGGGTCTTCATCCAAGGTTCTCTATCCTTATCAGAGAGAATCCAGACATAAGTGGAGAACCCGCACACACAGAAGATCACGTGCATGCCAAGGAGGAAAGCTCCAGAAGAAATGCATCCTGTCAACCCCCTGGCTTTGGGCTTCTGACCTCAGAGAAAAAGTAAACTGCTGTTGTGTAAGCCCCCAGCCCATGGCATTTCACTGCGGTGGCCCTGGCAAGCCCACAGAGCAGGCTTCCAGGGACCGTAAGCCAACCTCAAGAAAACTGGAGGCTGTGACACCGGCTGATGTCATCCCCCAGCAGGCCTGGCTGAGGCTCCAAGCCAATCGCCTCACAGATAGCTGCTCTTCTGTTGCTGCCCTGCCTGCTGCTCTCTGCAGAGTGCTGAATACACCTGCCTACTTTCAAAACAAAACAAAGCAGAAGCCAATCACCCCACTGATTGTGGGCCCAGTATAACTGTGTGGATAACTCTGTTTCAACTGTTCTGAGTTAATTTTCCACTTCAGCTTTGTCCAGAGGTGGCAAGAGACGGAAGGTCTCCATCCAGCATCTCCAAGAAGCCACTACAGAGGAAGGGTCAGGCAGGCTTCTGAATGATTAGGGCAAGGCAAATGTGTGCATGCGTGCCCATCTACTGTCCCAGGAGTTGCCTTTGCCCTGCATCCTACCGACAGGATCAGCAGGAACCCCGTGGCTAGCCACCAAAGCTAACCCAGGGTGTGACGGCCTGTCTAAACCTGACGCTCATCTGGATTGATTGACTTTAGACCGCGGCAGCTCGGCTGGGCAGGTGGAGCTCAGTCAGTTCCAGCTCTTTAGGGGGGAATCTCCTGAAGAAAAGGTAAAGCAGGTGGGGTGGAGGAGACTGCCTGCGGGTGTCTCCCCCTTGCGGAAGGCATGGCGGGTGGAGGTGGCAGTATGGCTGGAAAGCAGGGCTGGCTAGTGCCAGCCAGTTCAAACCCAGAGCCCTTCTCTCCAGAGGACTGGCGTTATAAACAGTTGTGAGCTGCCAGAAAGATGCTGTGAATCAAACCCAGGTCCTCTGGAAGAGCAGTCAGTGCTCTTAACCATCTCTCCAGACCCCCCACAATCTCCTTTGTTTGTTTTTGAGACACAGTCTCATGTAGCCAGGCGGGCCTCGAACTTGCTTTGTAGCTGAGAATGACAGTGAACTCCCAGTGCCTCTACCTCCCACGTGGCACCGGCTAAGTGTACCAGTCTTTAGGGCCTGCGATCTGCCCTCTGTCATTCACTCATGGGTTCCTTGACTCCCTCTGCCTGGCCAGAGGTCTCGCAGATTACAGGGCCTGGACAGCTCAGAGCTGTTTGGCTGCCTGGATCTGCAGAAAGGTAAGAGGGGCCGAGGTTTCCCTACGTGGGACAGCTCTCTTTGTCTCAGTGCTCTGGGCTCCATGTCAGGCCCAAAAGGGAGGAGAGTTCTTAGTATTTCAGCCGACACCAGAACCCAGTGTAGAACATGCGTCAGTCCCCCCTTGCACTGGGGAGCTCACTCCCTTACAGGGCAGTCTACCCCTTGGGAGCATCAGACAGGGCTTGGGAGTAAGTTCTGCAGCAGGGGATGCTAGGTAGGCTGTAAGCAGGGAGGGTCTGAGAGACAAGGAAACTGAACCTGCCTTTGGCAACGAGCCAGCAGCACGTTTTTGTTGGATGTTTGTGGGTTTTGCATGCTCTTTATTGAAAAAGACCTCACGGGTGCCTGCTGTCCAGTGGACCTGTGGTAGGAGTGGGGAAGGGGTGGGGAACGTGGTGAGCAGGGGCCTGGTCTCGTTCTTGTGTGCAGACATTCCTCTGCACAGACAATGTGCTCAAAAATAAAAGATGACCTCATGCTGGTTAAGTGCTCCGAGGAGAGCCAAATAGGATGATGCATGGGAGAGAGAGAGAGAGAGCCGGGAGGAGGGTGATTGGTATCTGCTAACGTGGTCAAGGGCACGGAGACAGGATATGCACAGGGCTTGTATAAAGATGCAGGCTGGTCGTACCAGGCAGTCGGTCAGCACGAGTGTCCAGACATGGGCCTGAGCACGAGGAAGACGCCAGAGGCCTCGGTGGGGCAGTGAAGCCTTGTGACCAAGGTCTATCAGCCTCGGAGGCTAAAGTTACCCTGCTGCAGCAGAAGCTGCGGAGGGCTTCAAGTAAGGAAGCTGGGATGCGGCTTCTGGGTTAATGAAAATCCAACTCGGAGCTGGTGGAGCTGGGCAGCCTAGGGCACAGGGACAGGAGCCTGGGAAAAGGCTATCAGACAGCCTGCAAGAACACAGCACGGAATAGAACACAGCAAGACTACAGGGAGCTGCTCCCTTGTGAGGAGGCTCTGGGAGACAGGCAAGAGGGCAGAGAAAAAGAGGAGGGCAAGACAGGCCTGGGCTTCGGGTCTAGGCAGTGTGGGCAGCATGGGGAGAGGAAAGATTTGGGGAAGAGGGCAGACAGTGACAGACACCTGAGGGGAAGGGGTGTCCGTCCGCGGAAGATGGAAAAGGGCTTCATGCGTTTGGACGTCCTTCACTGCCATCAGGGCAATGGTGGCTGGGGTGTTCTAGAGGACAACAATGGTGGAGCAGGTTCAGAGGACTGATGTGGGAGTGTCATATATCAATCTGTTGATTTCATTGGTTAAGTTATAATAAACCAACTGCTTGGCCTCAGCTTAGAACATAGATGGGAGGAGTAAACAGAATAGAATTCTGGGCGGAAGAGGAAGTGAGGTCAGACTCTGCTCTGCTCCCAGAGAGACCCGACAGTTCTGCTGGAGCAGAGACGCCATGCTCAGCTCTCCCGGGTAGACGCGATAGCTCTGCTCTCTGAGGCACACGCGATGAAGATGGATGTAGGCTAGAATCTTCCCGGTAAGCGCACCTTGGGGTGCTTACACACATCATTAGAAATGGGCTAGTCCAGGTGCGAGAATTAGCCTGTAAGGGCTAGAGTTCAGGGGCCAAGCAGTTCTTAAATGAATACAGTTTGTGTGTTGTTATTTCGGGCATGAGCTAGCCAAGCGGCCG